TTGGCTAATCATGAAAATCAGACAACACAAAGATAAACATGCCAGAATTTTTTTTCTTCATATCACATTCTCGGATTAAGTTTTAATAAAAGTTAAACATGTTAGATTGACAAACGTTTCCTATTTGTTCTTTATCTTAGCATTCAGACGGATTCCGATCCATATTTGATCTCATCTCAAATCTATGTATGGCACCGCTTCAATTCAGTGCGTAAAGCGCCGATTCTATTTAATTCTTCGAAGATTGGCAAATACGACACAAGGTCGGGTTTAATATGGGAAAAGTAAAGCAACGATATGACAATAAAAGCAGATGATTTTGAAAATGTATTCAATGATACCGGATATTCTGTTCACAGATCAAAAAGTTTCTTAAAGCATCAGAATTGTAGTTCTACAGAAGGATGCTGAGAATTCCATGAACCAAACATATGAGCAATGACGAAGTTTTGGAGAAAATGGAAACAAAAAGGAAACTAACACTAATTTCTGGGGTACATAATGAGAAAGGAAATCATGGAAAATCTGATACCCACGAGACAGACAGAGGGCAAGAGAGAGAGACAGACAGAAACAGTGCATAACATACTTAGCTTGACTAAATGCACCGAATGAGTAGTGAGTTCGATCCTCACTGGGTGCCCCATACTTTCGGCCTTGTACCACATCTAAGCTACGCTTGGAAAATCGCTACTTAGCTTGACTAAATGGATGACGGAACAGGGCTTAGGATAAATAACAGAAACAGAAACTTTACTAAGATAGGAAGTTGTGGAGAGCCATGATCGCGAGGGGACATAGCACATAAAGAAAAAGATATATATTTCCCTGATGTGAATCTGAATATGTTTCGTTTGTAGTAACGTACATGATTATCATGCCATATGTGTGTACAAAAATCAAGTAATGGTTCTATTTATAATTGAACATTCTTATGGTGATGTGGTACAAAGCCGAAAGTATGAGGCACCTAGTAAGGATCAAACTCACTATTTAGTCGTTATTGATCTAGAGAGGCAAGCTTGCTAGCCATTAAACCACATCGAAGTGCCCAACTGAACAGTCTTGTGATCTGTTTTAAAATAAATAAAAAAAATACCGCTTATCCAGAATATAAGGCCTCTGCCATAGAGTGATGGTTAACAATTAAAAATATGACCATTGCTCGTGCGTTCGATCCTCACTCGATGCCCAACTATCACGACCCAACGCCAGAAAAGAAAGCCACCGCTAAGGAAATATCTCTACACCCCACCAATGACTGCAATACACCCGTGTTACAGTATTACCGATTTTTTGTTGTATTTTTTGTTGTAAAAATATTCATTTTGCTCATATATATTTTGTTGTAGAAATAAGTGAATATGTTTTCAAATTTCATTAATTTCATTTGCACTTGATTTGAGTGCAATATGTACACTAACTACACCGTTTGTATCTATTTTTATCGTTTACTTACACTTACTTCATGTATTAGTATTATCATGCATACACCTGATTGAAACACTGATTATCAAATAACTTTTAAGAGGAAAAAAGCGCATATTCTACCTAACAAGCTTGTGTAAATGGTTGGCAGAACAGGGATTAAGAGCGACAGCTAAATGACAAACATTAAGAGCTACAAAAGACATTGTGAAGAACCATGATTGCCTACGTCCTGAAAGGACACGGCACATAGAAGAAGAAGAAGAAGATGTGTGTGTGCAACACGATTTTTTTCTGACAGCTTTTTCTAACTGGTTAAAAACGTACCTGGAGGGCGGGCGGTCTGGATCCGCTTCAGTCTTGCTTACCTACTCACTCCCATACTGTCAATGTTACGTCAGCTCGAACCCTGAGGAAGAAAGGGAGACCAGTTAGTCAGTGTGTCGAGCTGCTTGCGATCAACAATTTGCCACCTTTTGTTAGGGTGTATTCACGAGTTAGAGAGGAACAGAGAAGTTCTAAACTTCGCTTTTCCTTCGTTTGCTGACTACCGCGTCTCTGGAGTTTCTCTTCTTTTTTTTTTCTTTCTTTTTTTTTTTACAGCGTTGTCTGTTCGGAAGAAGTTGTTTTTGCTTATATATTTTTTTTTCAAGACAAACTCTAAGAAAAGAAAATAAGAGAAGATTTTAGGGGGGTATTCCAACCTAATTTTTCATACGAAAATTCCCTTAATTTTAGTCTGTTACCAAAAAGAATTCGGAGGTTTTGTTTGACAGTCACAAACTGAGGTTTGGATTTTTAGACATTTTATTCAAAGCGGATTACCTTCTGATTTACTTTTAGAACTTAGGAATATCTCCAACCACAGTAGACGCAGGCAACCGGGTAAGAGATTTTTTTTTTTAACTAAAGAAAAACTATTTTCACCGTCTCATATTTTTAAGGTAAAAAAAAAAAAAATTAATCATCAATTTCCTTTTGGTTTCTTCCTTGTCTTTATGAAGTTTAAACTGTTTTTTTTGTTTCCTTTTTACTCAGTACTTTATTTTCAACAAGTCTAGAACTCATAATAGCTAGATCGGAATTTTCAAAACCAAAGTAAAAAATATTTTGAAGGTTACACACTCACGCATACACGTGGGTGTATCAATAAGTCCGTAGCCTGATATTATAGCGGAATATTTACCTGACAGTTTTATTGCGTAATGATCGATATGTAATTAATAATATTCACCACTGAATTAAATACGTTGACAATGAAAGATATTGTGTCGAAAAATATTTGTTATCTTTTCAAGATTAGCGAACCTACTCACGGCATGGTTTGCTATTCTTTTACAAGAAGATGAGTGGGTCCGTTACTCTCTCTAGTCTTTACATGAGAATAATTGGGTTCGCTGTTCTACACATGAACATTCTGGTACAAATAACTTTAAAGCTCAATATATTTTCATATACTGGTTTTAATTTATTAATTCACATATTCAGGAACCCTCAAGGATGGATAGATGTTCACGGAGGTTTACGAAGTCAGTATTTGGGGAGGATAGCTTATCAGTGGTTGACTGGATGAAAAACAAACCACTTTCCACAGGAATTAAAATGTGAATCATACATTTATTTATGAATTGGACAAAGTACAGTTTCAATAACTAATTTATTTTTAACTGTTTTTTCATGGAAAGTGAATATTGTTATTAATTGTTCATTTATCAATAAACGAGTTAATTTATATTTCCAACATTGCTTTTTAAGATATTTTGTCAAGGGTTTTCTATTCTTTACATGTGGATAATCGTGTTCGCTAATCTTGGCAAGATCCAATATTTGTTGTATAAAAAAGTAAAACAAATTATCTTATTTTAAAGAAAAATACAATAAGATAATTTGTTTTACTTTTTTATTCGGCTACAGATTTATTGATGTATCTACGGATAAACTGAAGCTCCTCCTGGAGTCGAGTAATTCTGAATTGAACATTTACTACTGTGTAAAATGAGTTCGATCCTCACGGACTGCTTGTTACTGTGGCCTTGTGACCTTGTGACAGACGAAGTTGAGCTTAATCGCATTGACCGAATTTGATTCGCCGAATGTTTTTTTTTTTTTTGTTTGTTTTTTTTTTCGGAAAGAATGGATTGCTTTAAGAAACAAACATTGCACGAGAACAATTCAAAGAAACAAAAATGAAAGGCTAGTTATTAAAATAAATAAACTGTGAGGTTTAATCTTTGAACAGTCAGAAATCAAGACTCTATAATAGTCTATTATTACTATTTTGAAATGGTTCTAACGTCCACGGTACTATGAGGGACTGGATAGCTTCAGACCTCCACAGAACCTTGAATTTGTATTCTATCACAATGCAATTCAGATGAGCGCTGTCATTTGTCTGAAAACATTACTGCTATTAATTTTGTAAATAAATCTTAAAACTTAATTTTTTTATTAAGATTAGAAAAGATTTGTTGTATGTAAGTTTTATATGCAAAAAATTATCTACAGATCACATTAAAAAAAACAAGAATAAGCAAAAAGCCAAAAGAAATTAATTAAATTAAATATAACTAAGTAATTTATTTTTAAAATCAAAATAGAAATTGTTAACAGGAGAATAATTGATCAAAATTCAAAAATATTCTATTTAAGAGAGGGTCTATATATATAAATGATAAAAATATAGTTTTTTAAATAATTTATGGGTAAACGTAAAAGTACTCATTATCATGGATAGAGTGTATGTAAATATAAAAGTTGACACTGAGGTTAACACCGAGTGACGACAGTCTGTTTCATGTTTGATCGCAATCTCCATGGCCTGAAGATTGCGTTCAAGCATGAAACAGACTTTCGTCTCTCTCTCTCTCTCTCTCTTATATATATGTATATATATGTGTGTGTAAAGAGAGAGAGATACTCAGAAATCTTTAAAATTTAATATCATATTTTAGCACCCCGTCTTTTTAATATTCAAGTTAACCCTTTCTCATGCGCCCATTTTTTTATTTTGTACCACCCTTCCTGTAATAGCCCCCCCTAAAATCACCCCCGCCCAGTGAAAATGATATAAACTAATTTTAATGTTTTAAATTTTACGACATAAAAACTATTCATTGAATACATTTGCACTGTTTGATATAATTTCCATTTTTATCGCTTATATTGGTCAAAAAAAAAAAATTATTGCAAATTACGAAAAAAATTGTTCTTATTTATTTATGATTTTTTTCCAATATTAGAACCAATTACTGTTACCCCAAGCTGAGTGTTATAATTCAGACACTTTCAGTTGCGACCCTTCTGACTTAAAGACCCTTACCCCTACTCAAAACACTTTTGCAACGGGCCTGATAACCACAGTTTTCCCAGTCTTATTAAAGTTTTTCTAGATTATAAATAATGTATACAGTATTTAACTCATGTTTATCACAGCTTGACTTAATTTTCTGTTTTTCTTTTTAGGAATTTCATAACAGAAGATAAAAAGATACCAACGCCGATAACACACACTTCATAATTTGAAAACACTGGAATATATATTTATATAATTATCAAAATATTTAGAAATAGTAATGGAATCCCTTTTAGCAGATCTGAACAACGAAACTCATTTGCCCCAAGAAGAAACCATTAACTCTTTTACAGATTCAACGGCTAATAAACCGTTGTCTAAAGAAGGTTCAGTACCTGGAACTCCGACCGGAAGTGCCGTTTCTCCTTCAGCTATGTTCATACCACCACAACCAATAAGTCCTAATTCTGTTATCACTTCGACAGAACAAAAACCTAACGCCCCACCGCCAACGGCTGAAATGTCATTGGGACAGGTAAAGCCAGATGGAAATAATGCAATGCAACATAACAGTCTTTTTATTGACGATGACTATGATGACACAGCACCTATTACAAACCCAGGACGAATCGCCACGGTAGACGAAATCCCGAAGTCAGAGTCTGTAATGATTCCAGCACCAGCTCCGGGAATCTCCAAACTCCCGAAAATGATTACCAAAATGGCAATGCAGAACGGTGACGAATTAGCTGGAATGGCTATAAATGCGAACGCTACAGAGTCAGAAATAGTTGGAGTAGTTCATAAAATCGAAAACGAAATATCAGGTGATGTGAGTATTGAAGGCGCAGCGATTGTGTTTGAAAGCAAAGAAAAAGCAAACGAAAAGTTTGAAACCAAAATGCCAGATATGTCAATGCTTGATATGAATTCGAAACCAATCGTTGTCCATGCCAATGTGAAAGAGATTAGTAAGCCCTCAGAGAATGCCACTGAACTGGTCAAAGTTCAAGAACCAGTCATGGCTTCAGAACCAATCAAGTATCCAGAATATGTCAAAGACCCTGAACCTGTTGAATCACCTATGGTCAAGGATCCAGGACCTGTCTGTACAGCCGATTTAGTCAAGGCTCCAGAATACCTCAACACAGATCAACCGGTCATGACTCCAGAGCCTGTCAGAGCAGTTGCACCAGTCACATCTCCAGAATCTGTAAGCGCATCCGAACAAGTTAAAGTTCTAGAACCTGATATGGTACACGAACCCGTCAAGTTTCCAGAACCTGTCATTGCACGTGAACCTCTCAATGTTCCAGAACCAGTGATCGCACCCGAATCATTCACTGTTCCAGAACCAGTGATCGCACCCGAATCATTCACTGTTCCAGAACCTGTCATCGGATCTGCACCGATCAATGTTCCAGAAACTGTCATTGCATCCGAATCAGTAAAGGTTCCAGAATCTGTCATCGTGCCTGAACCTGTCAAGGTTACAGAGCCTGTAATCGTTCCTGAACCGCTCGAGGCTCTAGAACCTGTCATCGCACACGAACCAGTAAAGGTTGAAGAACATGTTATCTCGCCTGAACCGGTCAGTGTTCTAGAACCTGCCGCGGCACCCGAACCGGTCCAAGTTCCAGAACCTGTAATCGAGCCAGAACCGGTCCAACTTTCAGAACCTGTCACGGCACCTGAACCGGTCAAATTTCCGGCGCCTGTCATCACCCCCGAACCGGTCAAAGTTCCAGAACCTGTCACTGCACCTGAACCAGTCAAAGTTCCAGAACCAGTCACTGCACTCGCACCCATCAAAGTTCCAGAACCTGTCATAGCCCACGAACCAGTCAAAATTCCAGAACCTGTCATCGCACCTGCACCGGTCAAATTACCAGAACCTGTCATCGCCTCCGAACCGGTCAAAGTTCCAGAACCTGTCATCGCTCCCACACCGGTCAAAGTTCCAGAACCTGTCATCTCACCTGCATCAGTCCAGGTTCCAGAACCTGTCAAAGCAACTGAACCGGTCAAGGTTCCAGTATCTGTCAAAACACCCGAACCGGTAATGACTTCAAAACCTGCCAAAGCTCCTGAACCAGTTAAAGAACCAGAATCAGTCAAACCTCCTGAATCTTCAAAAGTATCCAAACTAGCAAAAACTTCTGAACCAATGGAGGTTCCCGAAACTGCTAACGTTCCGAAACCAGTTAAGGCAACAGAACCATTAAAAACTGATTGGCTGTCTAAAGATGCTAAGGCCGTGGAATCTGTTAAAACACCCATTCCGGTGAAATTCCAACTGCCAGTGAAGGCTTCAGAACCGGTCAAGAAGAAACGTCCAAAATCAACTACAGAAGATAAGTCAATTCAAAAACTTTCGGAAAAAGCCATTCCGAAAACCAGCTCTGCAACTTCTGATAAAACCAAAAAGGACGTTGCAAAGCCCGCCAAAAGTCCGGCCGTGTCTAATGTGGAATCAAATACTCAAATGCATGGAATTCTGCATACTGACAAGAATAGAGGTAAAGTTGTCTACGAAGACAAACTTTACATGCATCTCAGGCACAAAAACTATGGTCTTGTACTGAAGAAGGGACAGATTCAAGCAATCCGGTTCATGAAACTGGAAGACATCGGTTCAGATAACTATGAAGAAATCAAAGCGTACAAAAACAATGGTTTTATATGCATCAACATGAAACTGAACGGACGTAAAAGGCGTAGGAAGCTTAGCCGATTTGTCTACGAATGCTGTAACCAAATTCTACTGACTGGAAATATTGTCCTTCTACACAAAGACGGAAAGAAAACCAATGATCACCCTTCAAATCTTACTCTTAAAGTCCAAGCGGATTATCTTACCAAACACTGATGTGAATTTGTTTCTTTTGGGGGGGCTGGTAAAGAATCTATTTTTGTGGTATTTTCTTTACGCAATCTTTTCAATGTGGAGTGATAAAGCTGAGTAAATCGTTTTTGTTGAGTTACTGGTAAGGAGTGTTTCAAATCAAAAACAGTTAGACAAGGAAACGACATCATTAGAATTCCGTTAAAAAATCCACATCGTCTCACTTCTTGAATAATCTTTAATGGTATTTTTGTTGTGCGTGTATTTTAATACACTGCAGTGTTCCTCTACATTAAAAAATAAATTGTGTGCATAGCGACATTAAACAGAATGTATACATATTTAATCTTTATACAAACATACGCTCATAATGAAAAATTAACAGAATGCTTTTTAATTATGATCTTTGTCAACAAAAATGTAAAAACATAGAAAAATATTAATAATGACAATATTTATCGTGATATATTGCTTCAAACATTATTTTTAATGAATACTAGTGTTTGAAATAGGCACCCCGTATTTTTTAAGCAGTGCTATCCGACATGTTTTGAACCTACGTCCACCTTTGTTTCGAACCCTGCTGAAGAGCATATTTTCTTTAAGTTTTCTCGAGTGCACAGGACGGTAGATTTAATAATATACACTGCGAAAAAAAACGAGACGTCTATTTCAAACACTAACATCCATTAAAAGAAGTAATAAAAATTTATAAAAAATAAACCCGTTGATACTTTAGAAAAAAAATATGAGAAATATTGACTATTATGGTTGATTGAAATATTCTCCATGAGATCTCCACTTTTTTTTCCTGCTAACCCTTGATCTCTGTTGTAGCCCAAGTTTTATTCTGACTGACTTTATATCATACACGCACACAAAACATGCCTGACCCTCAAAAATTTTTTGCCTCTAATTCTTATGAAATGAAGCAACGATGTTTGTAAAAAAATTTGATGAAAACTCACACTGCTATGTCCATCTTTTATATGTGTTTTTTTCGCTTCTTTTTTTATCCAAATCGCCGCATGTTGCTATATAATTAGATAATTATAATTTAATTTCAAAATCCTACCAAAATATGAACGAAAATTCTGGATCGTGTTAACCAAGTGGATTTTGTTCTCATTTCTCAGACCTGGAAAGAATATATTTGGTAGACCTGTTCTTTCTTACACCATTGTAAGTTTAGTCAAAATAAACAATTCAGCTATTATAAATACAATTGTAGATTTTAAAAAAATAGTCCTTAATAACGTTTATTTTGTATTTTACAACTGCTACTATTATTACTTCTATAGAAATAATTTACATAAAATATTTTAAATTCGAAAATGGAAGATAACTGCCAATGTCAGCAAGTTTCAAAATTTGTATCTTTTTTGCGTGTGTGCGTTTGTTTCTCTTCGGGGACAATTGCGAAGAAAATAGAAGCCATTTTACTGTCAGAAATATATGCAGTTAACCAAATAACCAGTTAATACAAATAAAATTAGCTCGAAAACAGACCTTAATTTAATGATGACAAAGATTAAAAAAAAAAAGAAAAAAGTTACATGCATGTGGAACTTGAACGAACAATTTAAATTTATTTCCGAAAATGTATACATAAAAATCTAATTAAGTTGGTAAAACATTTTTTACAAGTTTTAATTTGAAGGAAAGCTTTTGGTTTAGAAGACAGTGTTTTTTTTTTTTTTCTTCTTCTTCTACAAGAGAGTGCCGAAATGATCTCGATCCGACTTATTTTCCAAATTCTGACCAAAGATCTTCTTGGTCAGGCCGAGAACATTTGTAACATCCTCTTCCTTGTATATAATAATAAATGTGGTGGAAGTTGGATGCTAATCTTTTTTTTTCTACCCAGGATAATATTAACCGAATATTAACATACCTATCAGATTTAAACGCCGGTTTTGCTTCTATCTACGCATTGCTGAAAAGAACACATTCCAGATAGCCTGGCAAACAAGCAAGCTATCACGATGAGAAGCTAAAGAAGTGTTAAAAAAATAAAATAAAATGAATTAAATAATGTGACTAGCTAATGATAAGGTAAATTTCTATTTTAGAAACGAGTGCCCATTGTCATTTTTACGAGTCGTCAGAGATTGTTCTCTACTAAAAAGTTATTTTTTATCAGAGTTTTCTGTTAAATAGAAGTATAAAAAATAAAATAGCTTCCTCAACCTCAGTGAAATAATAGGTGTCTAAATAAATTACTACTAATTTAATCGCCGAAAAAAAAGGTAAAAAACAAAATGAACAACACAGTCGTTTTTAGAAGGCAAAAAAAACATTTATCCATTCTCATTCTCTCCTACGGTGTTTTGATTGAGCGGAGTGGTTTAATTTTTGGCTAAAACGTGCTTTCTTTAACAATTAATTAACAAACAAAAACAAGCGATTTAAACTTGTAAATAAGTCTTCCCCCATTTTCTGTTTTTTACTCGACCTCCAGGGATCTTTTCTGTTAATTCACTCCAAAATAAAAGGAATTTATATTTACTAAAATTCACACCAAATTCTCCGAGCTCGAGGCCCTTCCATTGCACTCCGGTTGGGTTGACCTTTGCGATCGTCCCAAATGTAGGCGACTCAGGTGCGCTATTTCTAAGTGTGGGGTCAGCATTCGCGCTCACCCCGATAAACAAGCCAAAAACAGATATTTTTTTTTCTGTTTATTTAAATTGTAAAAAATTCGTAACCCTAACCCGTGCTGAAAATTTAATAAAAAAAAAAAAGAAAACAACTTTGATTTGAAATATATAATTTCTTGGCGTGAATATTTGCGATAAGTAACTTTTTGGGGTGAATTGACAACACCAACAGAAAAGATCTGACCTCAGTATCAGATGTGGTTAAGATTTTCTTAGAAGTGTGTTTTTTTTTTTTTTTTTTTTTTTCAAAAGAGAATATTTTTGCACGTCTTTTTCGTAATCGATTTTCTTTGATTAATTTTAAATAATTCAATTTACGCAGTTTTAAAGTTTTTGTACCAAGGATAGCCCCCTGAAGACCTGGACATTTTGTATCTCATCATGAATAAACTAAACACTAAACAGCAGTTAACATTTACACTTAGTTACACACAAGCGCAAATTAAAAAAAAAGAAAGTGTATAATCGTACCGAATGTTTTTTATCTGGATGTGTATTTGAAATATGTACGTGTCCACATAATTGTATAGATTCGTTCAGCACTGTGTTACGCTTTTTTATTAGTTTTTTTTTTTCTCTCCAATTAGTTTATTTATTTATTATTATTTTTTTTACATTAATTTTGATGTTTACAATTTCCCGCCAGTTAGAGGCTTCAAAATTGGAGAAAATTTGTGAATCAAGCTTCTTGTAATTAAAATTGATTTCTTTTTTTTTCTCTGATCAAAAATATTCGCGTAACTTCCCTATTTAGAAACTTGATGAACGAAGAATGTTTTTATTTTTTTATTTTTTTTTAAGGGACGCTTTTAGTTTTGTAACATAGATATTCTTATGAAAAACAAACTCAGTCATTTTAAAGAACATTTTAATTATGCTTATTTGTTATACGGTTCAATTAGAAACAAGTTTTGATAAAAGGCCAAAAAAAAAAAAAAAAAACATAACGATTTTATTTTTACTTTTTAAAATGTTGCTTTATTATTTCATTTCTCTCTCAATAACATTTCAAAATATATACAAATTTCATTTGAGTGCCTGGTAGTAGAAATTACATTTCCATTCCAAGGAAAATAATTGCTTGTAAATTCAAAGCCCAATGGCCTTAGTAGAGTCTCATTTAAGCATAATGAAAAATGAACTTAATACAGTAACAATGGTCTCTGAGATAACTATGCTAATCATAAATTCTACAGCGAGACATCCTTACGAAGCGGGTTAGCAAATCGGTCTCAACTACCATTACGAATGTAGTGACATCGATCTTCACTGAGTTCCCAAACTTGGAGCATTGTAAATTATGCTCGTTTCGTAAGGTAAGGATATATTTCCGTAAAAAAAAAAGTACTACAGTGTAACCCGGATATAAGAGAGTTGTCGGGACCGGAGAAGAAGTCTCTTATATCCGGGTTTGGTCTATTTTGTTTAGGTAACACAGGCTCTAATTTGGGACCAGAGAAAATCTCTCTTATATCTGAGTCTCTTATATCCGGGTTACACTGTAATTGGCATACTTATCTCGCAGGTCGTTAAGGTTATATTTTTTTATTGCATGAATTGTACAAAATGTGTCACGTGGCCTCAATGAAGGGGAAGTCTTCAATGTCACATCTGCTCGAATACTTTCCCTTTCATCAAAACATCTCATATACGCTGCACAGTCTTACAACAGATGCCATAATACCGCAATTTCTCTATGAAGTTCTAACCAGTCCTACATGTACAATTTTTTGATGGAGCGAGGTGATGAAAACAAAACATTTTAAGATTTATGATTTACGTACAATGACCGTTACTGTTATATCGTGACTGAGTGAGTTCCACCGGCACTAGTCACTATATATCTCCCCTTCGACGTTAATGGTTAGCAATTTTGTCTCAACTGACTAGTGAGTTCGATCCTCACTGGGTGCTTGATACTTTCGACATTATATCACATCTTAGCTACACTTACTGCAATGGTTTAACAACAGGATATTGTCTCATTCTACGACTGAGTAGCGAGTTCAATCCTCATTGGGTACTCCATACTTGCTACTTCATGCCATCAGTCATTTATCATGTATATTTCGATACATGACTGATGATGCAGTTTTTCCCGCAGTAGGTTACCATTTCTTTCTGCGGTTGCCATTCAAAGCTATAGAACCCGGTCTGACCTGCTATTTACAAGAAGAGGATTCATACGTTAGCACGTAAGTGAATGTAATTCGAATCGGTTTTCCGAATCCTCAATCCGAGCCGCAATAATTACTCCACCGTGCCTCCTCTTCGTACCATATCTAAACTTAAACTACGAAATCGCTATAGCGTGGTTTTGTTGTGTTTACGTCAAGTTAAACATTAAACAAAGTGTTATTTTGATGATAACAATTCAAGAAATTCCAGTCTCTCCAAAATATAACACCAGCTAAAATTAAAATTGTTATCGTGTTTTGTAGTGAGTGTGTGTGTACACACA